CCGGAGGCCGCTCCGAGGAGCTGACGCCTCTGCTGCAGCCTGGCGGTCTGGAAGAGGAGCGTTCAGGTGGAGGGCACTGCAAGTGCAAAGGCGGGGCCGTGGGACCAAGCCAGGCCCGGCTGAGGAGGAATGATAATAACACAGCAATTCCTTAAGCTTCTGAGCACTTGCTGGGCGCTGGTCCTGGAGTTGGAGTTGGAGGAGGGTAAATGATTTAAACCTGCCTCAGCTCTCACAGCACACACTGCAGGCCTCTGTAGCCAGGATGAGTGAGGTGGTTAGAGGAGGGAGCAAGGAGAGCTCAGGCTTTGTCCTGAGGGCACTAGGGAGCCACAGCAGAGTTTAGAGCAGGAGAGGGACCAGCCTGATTTATTTTTGTGATGGCCCCTCTGGCTGCCAGGTGGGGAGTGAATTAACAAGGGCAAAGTGAAGAGGCTTTGAGGCCTGGCAGAGGCTGAACTGGGGCCCCCCTCAGGCTGAATAAGATTGAGAGGCAGGTGGATTGTGGACGGATCTTGAAGGGAGAGCTGACAGGATTGCTACCGACGGGTTGTGGGATGACAGGCATTGGGGTCTCCCCACTTCCAGATTGAGCCACTGGAAGGGACATGTTAACGTGATGGGGTTGGGAGGGACAACAAAGGGTGACATTGGGTGGGCAGCTGGCCGTCCAGGTTTAGGGTGAGTCCCGGGCTGAGCTAGGGGAAGTCTGGACAAGATCATGTGAGAAGCAGGCACAGGCAGAAGACAGAGGCAACCAGTTCCCCTGCCTTCCCCTTGATTCCTTGCAGGCTATCGTGAGTCCTTCATGCTGCATGTGTCACCGTGTGAATCCCACAGACTAGGAGAGAGACAGGACCTGTCACTGCCAACATGTAGACTGCGGCCCTGACTTCCCAGGTTCTTATAAGAACTCTAGTCCCCTGGCCCCAAACACACTTACTTACTGGGGTCTGGCTGGGGGGAGGGCAGGGAAGAGAGATTCTTCTAAAACCCTTCTAAACTATTTTCCTTTAAGTAAAATAGTTCTACTCAGCAGGTGCTTAATAAACGGATGTGTGTGCAAAGGGAAATCGCTTTGGATGGGCCCTAGAGAAACATCAGGCTCACCCCAGAGGGGACAGGGACACTGCCACCTCTTTGTTTACAGGCCTTCTCATCTCCCCCTTTTTACAATAATTGTGCATTCATTTAGCATTAAAATAATGAGATAAATTAGCAAACTTTAAAAAAAAGACCCAGAGAAACATCAGGGGCCTGGGCTTGAGTCCCAGCTCAGAGCCTCATGTGCTGTGTGACCCTGGGTCTGTTTCTTAACCTCTCTGAGCCTCATTTCTCCATCTCCTACGGCAGCTGGGAGGGTTAACAGAGTGAATACACAGGAAGGGCTTGGGACAGGGCCCAGCACACAGTAGCACAGGGTTTGGCAAACTACTCCTATAAAGGGCCAGATAATAAATATTTTCAGCATTGCAGCCGCAGGTCTTCCATTGCAACATGAAAGCAGCCAGAGGCAATATTTAGTACATATATTGCTCAGCAAAAGGAAGCTGTGAGTAATTCCATCGCTGCCCCTCTGTCTCTGTGTTCGTTCAGTCCAAAAGATTTATTGAGCACCTACTGTGCACCCAGCAGTGTTAGGTGCCAGATATGCAGGAATCTTATCCTCAGAGAAATGGCATTTTGTGGTCTACTAAGTAAATGACTCAAGGTTTTAGGGATGCTGGATGCATTTTTTTAAAAAATAGGAAGAAGAGTGCTGGCTTTGGCAACACATATGCTAAAATTGGAAGGATACAGAGAAAAGTAGCATGGCCCCTGTGCAGGGATGACAAGTAAATTCATGAAGTATTTTTTTAAAAAAGAAGCCTGTCCGGTGTGGCTCAGTGGTTGAGCATTGACCTATGAACCAGGAGGTCATGGTTAGGGCACATGCCCGGGTTGCCCAGTAGGGGGCGTGCACGAAGCAGCAGATCAATGATTCTCTCGCATCACTGAGGTTTCTAGCTCTCCCTCTCCCTTCCTCTCTGAAATCAATACAAATATTTAAAAAAGAAAATAGGAGGATGGAGAGGGACTGTTGGCAGCATCTCCCCTCCCACAAAACATATACACCTTTCTCAGCCTTAAACTTTCCAGAGCTCCCACCTCCTTTACGTCAAAAGTCAAATTCTTTCCCACAGCTCTCAAGGCCCTGCCTGGGAGCCCCAAGACCCCAACATCCACACCCCAGACTCAGGCATGCAGGCAGTTGCTTCCTAGAGGTAGTGACACATGAGCTGGGGAAATCAAGTCAGGCAGAGATGGTTGGGAGAAGCACCCCAAGTAGCAGGGACAGCCCCCCAAAAGATGGGACAAGGCAGGGTGTGTCCTGAACTAGTGCACTGGGGTTGAGTTGACCTTTCACCCTCCAGAGAGGCGGCCACATCACCCAGTCCTCAATCCTCTCTGCTCAGTGTGCGGCAGCTCCCATCCTGCTGGGGCCACGCCCCCATCCTGTACCACTTGCAACCACGACTGCCATGATGGTGCCTCTTCTCCTTCCGCCTCCTTAGCCACCTCTGCCCAGCACCCCTGCCCCTGCTTTGAACCCACCTCACATCTTGGCTGCTCCGGGACATCCTCTGGGGCCCTTGGACTCCCAGGGAAGTTTCACACTGGCCTCTGTGCAGGCCCCAAAACCCACTCCTCCTCTATCCCTGAGTCATAGATCCCTTTCCCTCCCTCTAGCCCTGACTTCAGCTCAGGCCTGTGTCTCCCACCCAGAAGGGGCCAAGGAGGTGTAAGCTAAACATGAGAGGGACTGTATCCCAGAAAAAAAGGGGCTCGCGCTTCCCCACCCCAGCTGTATAACCCCAACCCTCGGGCCCAGCTAAGTCAGGCCCTTTACAGAGCAGCATGCCAGAGCCTCGACACCTGCTGTCTTCCTGGCCTGTTCCATGGCCCTGGGATCCTCAGCCTTCACAGGTAAGGGGAATGGGGACCTGATGGGGCTACCCAGCTCTGGCTGGTTCAGCATTGGTCCCTCTATAGATCAGCAGAACCCAAACTCACTCCCCAGGAGGGCTTGTGTCCTCTGCACCTGGGAATTCTCAGAAAAGAAATTAATATGACCATGAGTCAATCTCCTCAACATATAAAGAGCTCTAACAAATAATAAAAGTAGAGCCCTAGCTGGTTTGGCTCAGTGGATAGAGCATTGGCCTGCAGACAGAAGGGTCCTGGGTTCATTCCAGTTAAGTGCACATGCCCAGGTTGCGGGCTGGATCCCCAGTAGGGGGCACACAGGAGGTGGCCAATCAATGATTCTAAAAAATATATTTTATTGATCTTAGAGAGGAAGGGAGAGGGAGAGAGAGATAGAAACATCAATGATGAGAGAGAATCATTGATCGGCTGCCTCCTGCGTGCCCCTTACTGGGGATCGAGCCCACAGCCTAGGCATGTGCCCTTAGCTGGAATCGAACCCGGGACCCTTCAGTCCGCAGGCCAACGCTCTAC